AGAACTCTTAGTGTGGAAGATTTGTTACAAGTCTATTAATAGGAGAAGGTCATTTCATGGGAAAGTTAGTTAGGCGGTTAGACAATGTTAGTTGGGGGAAGGGGGGAGGGGGGACTAACATTCAGTTAGAAGAGAATCTGGATTAGAGAATACAAGGGAGAAGCTCATTTGTAATAGCTATTCAGGCTTGATACAATAATACTTCTCTCTAATCTTTCTCTATGTTCTTAGCTCTCTTCCAAGAACAAGGTAGTTGTAGATTGTTCAAGAGCTATTCTCTCGGGCTCTTTAGATTTACAGATTTACACTTAATTTGATTAAGTACATAACACGCCTTATGTTCATGTCTCGTCACGTTGCTGAAAACAAATCAAAAAAAAAAAAAAAAAGTCATGTAAAGATGACCTGGCAAAGCCAAAGAAACAACGTAGACAAGCACAGCTCAATGGACTGATCGATCTAAATTTTAAACCTTTGAAGCAATATCCAAGGAAACAAAGAGTTAATCTTACATATGGTCATTATTCTTTACCGATCATTATAATTGTAAAATTATAACGTTATTTTTTATCACATTAAGATAATTATACTTTATCCACAATAACAATAAAGTCAATATTATCTTTTATGATGCTAAAAATAATTGAGCTTTACGTAATATAACAGTAAAAGTACCATCGAAAACACAGTCATAATATGCTCTCGGTAGGAGAATATATGATATTAAAAGACTCTAATTTTATAAAAGTTGCAAATGTTATACTTCTGATTTCTCATTTAATGGAGAGAGTTTTTTTTAATATATATATGAGGCAATGATATATATACATTACACGGACGATGTATAGTTTTTGGATATGTACAGTTACACAAACATAATAAAATTGTTTTTGTCTAGCGATATTGCGTTGACCAGACCAATACATAACTTGCACGGCACAATAATACATACAGAGGTCATTTTCTAATGAAGTAAGGCTTTCTTCGAGTTAGATTCATTCTTTTAACCGAGGTGGGTTATGAGGTGGGTTATGGGAGTGATAAGTACTCATTTATTTTTACGTAGAGGTTTAGAATTTGAATCCTAAGTATGAAATTACCTTTGTTACCAGAGAGCTTTACACCCAATATATATAGGACTTCGACGCAATTTCTAATTAACTTGATCCCCAATGCAAATACCGGATTTCAAACAAAAAGAATTAATTATCTTAAACAAAGAAATTAAAAATATTCTGAAGGCGCGATGGATAGTCCCATTCATCTCCGTGTCAACAACACAAAACACAGAATAAAAAACTCAAAAAAAATAAAATAATACAATAGCTGACTTTGTAAGGAATGACCTCACCCACGTCAGCTGTGTATTGCACACTTGTATTTTATTACGTCATTATTTTGTCTTTTTAATAATTTAATCTTTTACATGAAATAATTATGTTTCAACATAGTATCAGCATAGACATAACATAAATCTTGCTTTCGAGCTTCATCGCTGCTCATTGTAAAAAAAAGATATCACATACTTGCCCGCTTGGACATAAAATTTGCTGGAAGTTTTTTCCAAAAAAAATTCACTTTTTTTTTAATCAGCGTTTGTTCATAAAATTTTCAATTTTTACTTGAAAATGCATTTTGAAAATTTTAGAAAATTTAAAAAAATTCAAAAAACTGTTTTTCAAAATTTTCACTCACAAAACTTCAAAAACAACCCAAACTGAAATTTATGTTCAAACACAACTCTAAATTTCAAATACTATTTTCACTTGAAAAAGTTTTTCATCATTTTTTTGAATTTTACAATTCTTATGTCCAAACACCTACTTAGTTTATGAAAAAGAATTAGGCCTATAATGGGCGTTTTAAAAATATAATAAATGCATTTACAACAAGACATGCCTAAGTTTATGTTCCTTTAATGTTAGTGATGACATGAGATGTCAAAATGTGTAGCCCAACTGCCCAAGATTGTCCTTATTTTTTATTTAGTGCATCCCACTCCTCACTTCTCCATTTTATATTTAAGACAGTTGACTTTACTTCTCTATATATAGCTCTCCTTTGATCATTCCTCATCACCAATTCCACAGTTACGTACTAAAGAACTTATAATTTGGCCACCTTTGCAATTCCTAAGAGTTCATTCCTCCCTTTCCAATGGCCAGTCTTGATCAGGTAGTAGCTTTTTTTAAATATTGATTATTGCACTGTTAAAGCTTGTGACCAATGACGGATTCGGGATTTGAAGTAACGGGTGCACGAGGAATTATGTATACAATATACCCTGTTTGGAGGGGTTGATCATGTGTTCACGTGAACAAAGGTCTACTCTATAGATCCGTTATTGTTTGTGATTATCTCATTTAAAAGTTTAAGTTATCAGAAAGAATACGCTTATATTTTCAAAACGATCCTTCATCACTTCATGATTCTTTATGAGATTCAAATCCGTGGCCAGTACTCGTTATTTTTTAAAAAAATAAAGAAAAATACCACTTAGTACTAGTTCTTATTTTACTTACTATGCTAAATGTTTCATTGGCTTCCTCTCCAAAAAAAAAAAGAAGAATAACCGCTCTCTTTTGACCTTTTATGTTCTCGGAACTAGCTGATCATTGGTCGACATCTTCTTATATCTACTTGTATCACTGATGAAAAAATTTGTGATTTTCAAGGTTGAAATCCCGGCACAAAAAGTTGTAGCCCCAGCAACAACAGAAGTTGTTGCTGAAGTAGTAATTTCAGCTGCGGCTGAAATTGTAGCCCCAGCCGCAGCTGAAGCAATAGAAGCCCCAGCACGAAGCCTAAGGGGGAAGAATGATAGGTTCGGCTTGTCCCACGTAAATATATTGTGTCAATGTCCTTTAATAAAGATGAGATGAGAGTTCATCTCTAGGTGTGAATAATGATAAGAACATTGATCTTAATCATTTACTATAGTTTGAAAATTATAAATCAGTGTGTTCAATTTTTTGCTCTAATATATATATATATTAGTTCGCATAAATATTTGATCCTATACAAATTAAGGAACAATGGTGGCCACAGATTCATTTGATCACCTTCTCTAGCCATTGGATCAGTCAAAATTTTACAAAATGGTGAATATTCAATATCGACTAAGAGCCCGTTTTAAGTTGTGGAAGTATTTGGCAACCAAAAAAAGAGCTTAAAAAGTTAAAATTTGCTTTAAAAAGTCAAAATCAATAAGTTGAAAAATTCAACTTTTCGAAATTGGCTTAAAAGCTATATTGCTTTGACCAAGAATAATACATTCTTACCTCTTATAATTTTCCTTAATCCCAAAATTACCCCTCAGTAGAAAACCCTACAACATACTATCTTTTTCTTTTCTCCATTTTTGTTACGGCAGTCTCTGCTTTCTTCTTGGTGATTTTCCATAACTTTCCTCTCTTTTATTTTCATTTCTTTCTTTAAACTTTCATTTATTATTTTCCCATCTTTTTCCTTTCCTTTCTTTCTTCCCCAATGCTGCTATGAATTGAAAATATATTTACGTGTTCCTTTCCTTTCTATCGTCAAATTTATTTTCCGTTGCCCTTTCTCTTGCTCCCCTCTTAACCTCTGAGAAATTATTGTATTTTCCATCCGAGAATGTGAAGTCCGGCGAAATGATAGGAGTGAACGGAGATCAGAGAAGATTTTGGGATAGCTTCCTTCCCCGGCGCCGGCCACCTCTATTGCTACTTGATACTTAACAACTTTAAGGATATTTCAGTCATTTTAACAAGAAAAAGTGCTTACCAACACTTGTTTACCAAACACTTCATCAGTTTTTTTTTCCAGTTTTAACACTTTTATCCAAACACCTAACTGGTTATTTTTAAAATAAGTTCTAGCACTTAACTTAAAAGCCACTTTTTTTAAGTCAATCCAAACGGACTCTAAGTTTTCTTGTACTATATCAATTAGCTAAGGTTGATGAACATGATCTAATCGTTTCTGTAGATAAAAAAATTATTTTGTATTAAAATGAAATGAGTCTGAAATAAATAAAAAATATCGATATTTACTATTTATATAATTTTATTGACTTATTTAAAATTATATTGTAATTTATTGATTGATTAAAAAGTGAAATGTTGAATAAATCCAAGCCAAAAAGTTTACGCAATTGTATGGATTGTAATAACTTAAGAAGGGTTTGTAGTGACTTCATTGGAACGTGCTACTCTTGTTTCACCAGCAATTGTATTTCTTAATTTTTCTTGTTTCCTTATATACTTGACTTGGACAATAACAACAAAAACAACAACAATCCAGTGAAATCCTATAAGTGGGGTTTGGGAGGATAGTGTATACGCAGACCTTATCCCTACCTATGAAGGTAACACTACAAGAAAATGGGGCTTTAGCGAAAGGAAATCTGATCGTTAAAAGTCCAATTCCGGTCGTTATAAGTTAATAACAACCGGAAAAAATCCGGTCGTCACCGGTCGTTAAAAGTCCCGATGTTAAAAGTTAACGACCGGATTGTAACCGGTTGTTAAAGGATCTTTAGCGACGACGTAATTTTCGGTCGTTATACATGCTTTTTAGCGACATGATTTTCCCCTCGCTAATTTGTTATCCAGTCGTTAAAAGTCTTTAATAACAACAATGTATTATGTCAATTCGAGTGCTTTTAGTGACCGATATTCCCTTCGTTAATTGTATAATTACTTTTAATAACCAATATTCTCTTCGTTAATAGTCATTTATCTATTTGAGAAGCCTGTCGTTAAAGAGTTTTAATGACCACATTTTTCTTCGCTAATATGAAAATGTAATAAATATAATTAAAAAAATTAAATTATATGAATAGTAATAATTATTTATATGCTTTCATACACGCTTAATAACATTGAAAAATAAATCAAATACTTGATATCTTGTTAATACAAAGAACTAAAGTATCATATTTACGAGAAACCAATCCAAATTGTAAAAAACCCATCTTGCTAAAATAATGAAAAGTAAAAATAATGCAAACCCAGATAGGAGACAACTAGAAGCATAAAGTGAGGTGAGTTAAGCATCATTTTAAATAATTCCTAAAAAGAATAAAAATAAAATTGCAGCATATATATGTACATAAGACAGTGTCTTTAAACCATCGATGACGAACCAAAAACCTCTTGAACTTCAACTTGCTCTACACTTTCTTCAAATATAGGTTCTTCGGATTTCAAATTTTGATCTGTTAAAATAACAAATTTATGCGAGTTTAGTATCAAAGAATAAATAACTAAAGAAGAAAATAAACACTTTAAAGGGAAAATGAACAGATAATACCTTAAATTATCGAATGCACAGATAGATAACCATATTCATGAGAAGTAAGTTGACTAGCCAAAGAAGTGATAAGTTCAATTAAATTCTAGCCAAGTACCAGACTAACTTATACCAAATTACCTAATCATTATTGGACCCAAAATATACTTTTTCACCTTTTCAAAATTTTTCCCAAAACAAAACCAAAACAAACGTCATGAATCTTAACCAATGTTCCTAGATACCAATTGGCAATCTGCCACCAGCTTACAAAAAAATGAACTAGTACTTATTAAAGGGAGAACAATGACCAAACATTTAAGAAAAGAAAACCTTAAGTCTGTATGCAAGATGGCTAGTGTAACATGTCTTTCACCACAGTGCGTAATTTTTTAATTTATGATTATACGACTGGAGGACTCCGTATAGCATTCTAAGTTTCAAGTCTTGAATCCATATTCTTTAAAAGTGTGGAGATATTAGATAGAATAGCAGATTCTCCATTTCTTTCCAACTAATGTCTTCTCAACTATGGAAGAAGGTCTCAATAATAGCTTAAAATCTTTTAAACTCTTGTCCAAGGTATGAAATATATATGACATTTTAAATGCCGAAGATTGTATCAAGGCCATGAAGAGGTTAATTGTCATTTGATTACAAAGATTACTAGCAGTAACATGCAAAGAGATAAAGAAATTACCAGAAGAGCAATTTGAAGCTACTCATAGTAGATCAAGAAAAGAAACCAAAAGCTCCAATTTTTACAAAGAGAAAATAATAACTAAAAAATCATAATCATAACAATAATAGTTATAATAGTTGTAGCATTTTACTAGTAACCATAATAACACTAATTATAACAACAACATACTAACCAACAAAGCTCGTGATTTTATCATCAAGAAACAAACAGAGAGAAATAAAAAGAAGGCAACAATTCAAATGGAAATAAAGCTAGAAGCTAAAGCAGAAAATTATAGAAAAGAACAAAGAAAAGTAGAGTACCCTTTAGTTATTTCAAGAAAATTGCAGGCTCAGAGCTTAAGTGATATGACAGGATTGTTCTGCTTTGTGGGTATTCTAGTTTCTACTAAAAATGGTGAGGTAGAAAGAGAGATAATAATAAGTGTAACAGGAAAGAAATAGAGATAAGATCATTGGAGAGAGAGAGAGAGAGGCGCAACGTCAGATAAAAAAAAAGGAGCAGACAGCGACACATTACTTTAGCAGACAGCAGCATATATCTAATGTAAAATCTCTCCAAAAGTCCTTTATCTCCTGGTATGTACGCAAGCACAAGTGCACCATGTACATAATATTTGAAACTTCATTCTTGCTTAAATTCACTTGTTTCATTAACTATGTTTTTATTTATTCATAAATGTTAATGACATAAAGAAAAAATTCACATGAGCGTTGTAATATTTTCATCATAGAGTAAAATAGGATTTTCAATTACTAACCTGTTAAATGATTCAATCTATGGATCAGTTGAAGATGTTGATGAAGGCTGATCAAACACTATCATTGCTCTTATCTTGGTATAGAAACTAAAGAATGCTCTATCTTTTATTTGTTCTCTTAAGGCAATACACTCCATCTCTATAACTTCTAACAGAGAAAACTCTCTATATACACTATCCCTTGGCAAAAGATCATAACTAGACAATACAGAAAACTATTGTAAGAGTAAATGTAGCAACATAAAAAATATCTAAAATCTAGTCAATATACAACTATAACGAAAGTATTATTGTTATCTATTAGAAGAGAGGAATCTAAAGGCAATGACATCCATAAGGAATAATAATTTTTATTGATACACCATCAGCAACATACCCAGTGTAATCCCACAAGTAGAGCCTGAAGAGGGTAAAGTGTATGCATACCTTATACCTGCCTTTAAGAAGATAGATAGGCAGTTTCCGGTAGACCCTCTGCTCAGGAAGGAAAAAATGGAGGGGCAATAACAAGCAAACCGATTTGACACCGAAGCAAAAATACAAAACTAGCAATAGGTAATGCAATCAGAAAATCGAAATAAAAGATAACGGCAAGTAGTAACACGAGAATAGATACATTATAATATTCTCAAGTTAAGTTGTTCCAAATCTTAATGAGTAGCTCGTCTTGAGAATCAGGGGCTTGTAATAAAATGAACAACAATATGGTTGTAGATGCAGGACTTTATCAGGGTAATTTTAAAAAGGACTTCTTAATTTATACAGTTCCAGATGTTAAAGCAAAATTCAGCATCAAATATTCTTCATAATACCTTTCTCTATTTGTGCAGCATGCATGCCCATACTACTTTCAATTTCAACTTAAACTTTGCATGGACAGGCAAAATAAAGACGAATATACTTTGTAGTCTGGGTAACTAAATATATTTTAATTTTTTTTATTTTGCTAAAGGTAAAGGCAATTTATTAGAGCTAGTAGCAAGAAGGTACTACAAAACACATAAACTTTTACATAATACTTTAACTCTTTTCTGTAACATATCAGGTAAATCTAGGTATAATCAACACTATCCTATATCAAACTATAGCTTTGTCTTAGAAACATTTAATTCAAACATTTATCAGCTACAAATGCCAATAATTCACCTCAATTGAATATTCAAATTAAAGGAAAGGAAAGGCAAATTATTAGGAAAAATGAGCTCAAAGCATGAGGAATAATATTAAATTCTAAACTACCCCTTATTAGTAGTGCTTCTGCAATCTTCATTTTAAACAAATATGATACAGATATACTGTACAACTGAAGAGAAAGAATACTATAGAAGGAAGCATGTGATAAAAAGGATTGGAGGATTTAAGGTTTAACAAAATACTTCACCTGAAGCTTAACTTTTATGTCCAAAACCATATGTTCTTTACTGATACACCACGCACCAATATTTTAAGTAAAAAGTACATTCTTAATATTCATACAACAAGACGTGATTTTCTAATTGTTTCAACATCTGATAGCACATAGCACGTGAACAAAGTCATCACTTACTTCAAGTTCTCTGTTAACATGATTCTTAAAACTAAGGGACTCTAAATATGGAGTCTAACTCATGATGTAGTACTTAAAGCAACACAAATAAGGTCAAACCAAACTCCAATTAGCAGAATTATCAGTATAGCTTCACTTATATGTCATCATGTTGGTAATAAATCTTATCCATGACTGTTTAGCAATTCAGTGAAATGGTATATTTTTAAACTCTTTGGAGTAAACGAACAGAAAAGCTTATCATTAATTTTATTAAAATCCAATGGAAACACATAGGTCACAGAAAAACTTTTCCAAAACTAAATGCAAACAAACCCTGTAAATTCTGCTTAAGATATAACTTTGTTATTTTTCCTTTACTCTTTCTCTTTTATAAGCTATAGAATAGTTAATTAGACCATAACTATGATACACATACATATCGACATGGTTTTTAATGAAAGTGAATTTCTCCTAATTTTGCTTCAAAAATAATTAATAATTTTGAAGACCATAATTTAGACTTCTCATACAATAATAGTCTTGCTCAACAAAAGTAGAAGAAATAGGGATGCTAAAACGGAAACAACAGAAAAACTGAATGTAATTCAAAATCAAACCCAGTTCAAAAATAATCTGCTCTATAAGAGAATACACACAGTTGACATATAATGAGCAATATTCAATAAATAAATAAATAAAAGCAACTCCTGTACATTCATCAGCAATGTTAAAATCTGAATATAATTATAAAATTATAGTACATGTAATTATAAAAAAAATCAATACATGAAAAATAAAGAGATAATTGGAGTATAAAAAAGGTACCCAATTTCACAATAGTACTACAAGATTAGAGCTTACCTTGAGAAGAAGAAGAATGAAACCCTAGGTTGTAGAGAGGAACACAAGGCTTGATGCTTCACAGAGTTTCAACTGCTCAATTTCACTTATACCCTAGCTTTGTAATTCCTATGATTAAAAAAAAAAAAAAAGTGGGAAAATTATGGGTTTGGGCAAAAAAAGAGGGAAAAGTGGCGTGAGTGGGCTGATGTTGGGCAAAAGATAGGGAAACGTTAGCGTTATTTTTTTTTTTTTAACGACAGGATTTATGAATTTTAAGGACCGAATATTTTTTCTTTGTTAATATTAAACTAAAAATTAATTTTAACGACCGGAAAAAAAATGTGATCGCTATTGATATACCTATAACGACCGAATTCATGTCCCTTCGTAAAAAACTGGTCGTTAAAAGTCAAAATTCTTGTAGTGTAAAAATACTGTTTCCGAAAGACCCTCGGCTCAAGAACGTAAAAAAATGGAGCATTAGAGAAACAATAGCAGCAACAATGAAATAGAGAATGCATATAGCTTGCGGGCAAAGAAAAACCAACAAAATTTATGAAATTTTAATCTTTTAAGTTACTAACCTAAACTCTAGCAACTTGATACACGAGCTAGATCTCTTGTTCTTTAGTCTTATTCTTTCAAATGCAAAGATGCGTCATTGTAATGTGTCTCGTTCCAACAGGTTTCACATTTGCTAGTGTATGAATAAATTAAAGCATGACCGATGCTCTTTAATTATCAGTTGCTTGTTCAACGTCCGTAATTCAAGAAAAAGCAGCAGTCTTAAATAGATTAATGTTTCCTCAAAGTAGAACAATCTTGCAGTAGAAGATTAATGTTACATCGCTTTGCTAATCTATTTTTATGGATCATAATTGCGTCTTTACACCTCGCCCAAACTTTTCATGATTAAAATTTAAAACCTTGAGGCTCGACGTATATTTACTCAGTTCAAAACTTGGAAGTTAACATAAGGTTGCCTGATATATTGTTATAACAACAATAGTGATAAATTTGTCTTAGAATCTTCGGAAAAGGTCCAAATATGCCTTTATACTATATGAAACTGAGCACATTTGTCATTCGTTAATACTTTAGCTCAAATATGTCCTTACCGTCACATAGTTGGTCCATATATGCCCTTAGAGTTACACAGTTGACCCATATATGCCCTTTTCGAAATGGAATCCACTCAAACTAATTAACTCTTTCGTTAATTGAATTAAAGTATATTACAAACATTATTTTCTTTTTATTAGTACTTTTTTTTCTTTACCTTTCTCTTTTCTTTCTTCTTTTTTCTTTTCTTCTCTTTTTTTTTTTCTTTTTCTTTCTCCCTTATCCGATTTCCTCCATTACTGATATTTCTCCATTTTCATCATCAATTTCACTTGACAAAAATCATAAATTTCAATTACTAAGAAAATTCTCCCATAAAAATATTTTTATAGATCATATATTTTTCAATTTTTTAATTTTTACTGAACGTATATTTAGTTCTAAAAAATTTAACAAAGTAAGATTGAAATAATATTTATGTAACAAAAAATTCGAAAATTCAACAAAACCGAACAATCCAAACCGATATAATTGGTTTGGTTTGATTTTGATAAAAAATCAAAATCAAACCAACCTTTTCCATGTACACCCCTAATCTACATAGTTAATAAAAAAATAAAAAATGTCCCGCTGAAGAAAGACTAACAACTCAAATTTATAACACTACAACTTGAACTCTAGGCTTTTAATCATTAAATTATCTTTCTGAAAATAATTTAAATATTTTGGTATTTTGAGTATTGATAAAGGTTGAGATATTTTTATTATTTTAAAGTTTAATCCATAATTTTTGGAATAATTTAATTTCATTTATTTAAAGGACCAGTGAAATTGGAACTTGATTACCTTATGGGAGAATTTTCTTAGTAATTGGAATTCATGAGTTTTGTTAAGTGAAATTGGTGACGAAAATGGAGAAAATATTAGTAATGGAGGAAACGGATAAGGGAAAAAGAAAAAGGGGAAAAAAAAAGAAGAAAAGAAAAAAGAAGAAAGAAAAGAGAAAGGTAAAGAAAAAAAGTACCAATAAAAAAGAAATAATATTTGTAATACACTTTAATACAATTAAAGAAAGATCTAATTAGTTTGGATGAATTCCGTTTCGAAAATAGCATATATGGGCCAACTGTGTAACTCTAAGGTCATATATGGACCAATTATGTGACGGTAAGGGCATATTTGAGCTAAAGTATTAACGAATGACAAATATGCTCAATTTTGTATAGTATAAGTCATATTTTCACCTTTGCCCTAGAATTTTTTACTTATTTATTATCAGCTTCCCCTTTTAAACTTAAAGCACTTCAAAGATATATGTGACGTCCAATGATGGAGGGCAGCGAATGAGAGCGAGTCAAAGAGACGAATTGACCTATTTGTTAGGTGGCACATAACTTAATTTCACATCGAAATAAGAGGGAAAAAAAAAGTATATTACATGACACAAGTTCATATATAAGATAAATTCACTAGGCCCGTTAGGCTAAGGTAGACAATGCATGGCATCGACTTGGACTGCGACAATATATCAATATTTAAGAGAATTATATATATATATATATATATATATATATATATATATATATTATATTGGTGTAAGGATTAATTTGATTTTGCATCTATTGAGAAACTCGAAAGGAGATCAAGAGGTCTATAAAGAGAATTGGCTCTTAAGAACATTAAGTTCCAAAATACTCATAGAAGGACAAAAGAGCCAATCGATAAAAGATTAATATTGACATTATTGTTCAGAATTAAGCATTTTATACCGTATATTTATGATCTGTATTGACCAGGGCTTTCTTTTATTTTATACAGTATAAATTTTTGTTGTTGATTTTCGATTCGTCAATAACACAAGTTTAACATGTCAATTGTCAATTATATATACCACGCAAAAGTGACAGAGGAAATATCGAAAAAAATTAAGTTTGTGTGAATATAAAAAAAAATTCTTAAAGAATATAAAAATATATCAATCTTCTTAAAAACAAATTAAAAAATAATTGTACTACCTGAAAATATTACTCCAGTTACTATTTTTAATCAATTGATTGTGACAGTGTGGTCAAAAAATCAAAGATCAAAAGCATATTTCGACAATTTCTAGGATAGTAACCAAACAAAAGACCCATCAAACTTTATGCAAACGATGCATAAACGATCCACTTGGCACATAGTAATTGTTTTGGCTGTCTTTAACAAAACAAAGACAGTCAGGCTGAGTGTTAATTGCGCCCCACTCCATTTTGGACGGACATAAACAATTTAAATGATTGCAATAATACATACTTATAAGTTATAAGTTTTGTACCCTAAGAAAAAAGGACATATGGATTTAAGCTTTGTATACTTAAAAAAAAAAAATTTAATTTGGTGCACTAAACTTTAATTATATATAGAGTAAGGTTAAAGTTCAAACTACATTAAGTTTATTACACAACTTTATCTTATATTTTTTCGAGAGAATGATTTCATGATTTAAACTTTTGAGTTTCTGATCATACAATGATAACTTTTACTGTTACGCCAAACCTCTTCATAAATTTCATATTTTTCAAATTACCATATCAAACGTGATACGAAGAATTATCTATTATTGTACTTTAATTTTACACGATGAGGTAAAAAATACATTGTCTATATAGAGAATTTAAAGTCAAATAAAATTTTGGTAAAATTAATGTTAAGAGTTGTAGACAAGGCGAGAAATTTGAGGGGCAATCCCACATATCCAGCTCATGCAAGTGGGACCTAAAGGGATATATGGAGTAATAACCTGGAAAGCATCTGGACCGTTCAGCTTTAAACATCTTTAGAAATGTCGGTTCCCATGGGCCCACGTTAAGTGGTCCCACGTCAGGTGTTGTTGTTGCTTCAGTGGGGCCGTTTTAGGACGCTTCATCATCGGATTTTTCTGGTGATGGGCCCCCACTAGGCGCCGGCCTAGCGCCGCATGTCTCATGTAAAATTAATTAAATATAATATATTTAGTGATAACAATATGTAAAAATATGTACCATGTATCAATTGCTTATAGATGCTCAATTCTTCACTAATTTTATAGCTTAAACAATATTATTCTTATCGATGTAACTACTTAAATTTAAAAAAATGTGTTTACCCTTAAAACGGATAACAATTAAATTTATACGTGATTTTAAGGATATGTAGATATATTCAATACAAGAAATCAAGAATGTTAGATAAACGAATTAAATATGAAGTGAATAACCAAACCAGTTGTGACGTTGAGTCTATGCTCGAGTTTTAGCTTAACAATGGTCTTACCCACGACCGGGCCCTCGATTCGAAGCCAAATGTGTATGGAGAACTATGAATAAAATAAGAACCTTTCAATGGCTAGAAAACAGAGAAATAAGTTTATATTGCCTTGACATGCATGTTACAATGCGTCCATTGAATAAGAAATCTCCCCTTTATATAGTAGGGGTATTTTACCCCTACTATAATTCTAAAAAGGTAAAAATTCTCTTTGTACATTAATCACGGATATGCTACCGGCATCGAGTGAGATCTGCACCGTGATATCCGATTGGGTGCAGATATCACGACCCTCTGTTAGTCATGTTCAACCGTTTGTACTACCTTCCGATGACTTGTCGGGCCCGATGGTGAGCACCCCGTTCCGGTCTCGAACCAAAGAGTTCTCAGACTCGTCTCTATCTCACACATTCGTATTTTGTTAGACTTACCGAGAACTCGGGGTGTGTGCTGACCCCGAGTTTACCCGTATACAGATAGTCCCCTTATTTCTCAGAGAGTAGGTCTGCTGAAACGATAGATGTATCGCGGTTCCTTCCTTCGTACGTTACAACCGACACGACGAAGAAGCCGAAATGTCCCATTAATCGCGTCGTTCTAACTTTGGACACATGTTAACCATCGGTTGGTCGCCTCCGAATATGAAACAGTGCGTAATGATTACATTTTCCTCTATAAAAGCTTCGTCCCTATTTACTTCCTTCACTTTCTGATCCTAATCTTTACCTTCGAGCTCTACAAAGGCTTTCGTCTTTCTCAAATCTTCATACCTTGTTTCTTGAACCTTCATATCTTCATCTTCAACCTCTAACCTTCATACATTTTCTTGAATTTTCAACCTAGAACCTGATATCTTCACATTCAAACTTCAAATGTCCATACACTCTCTTCAAATCTTCATATATTTTTTAGATTTACAATGGCCAAGACTTTTAAACCCGTTCCTCAGCAAGCTGCCTCTTCATCTTCTCACTCAGCCACAGGTACCGAGGCAGCCATCCCCGAAGTGGTTATTCTCGAGACGGATGCTCCCGAAGTGGTTGCTGCCAAAGCGGCCCCAGAGCCCCCCATGATCCTAGACGACTTCAAAGTTGAGAAGGCCTCATCCAAGCAAGATCGAGGTGAAGGGGCATCGAGATATATATGCTTTGTCACCGAAGATACCCTTCCCATTGTCCGAGAGTACTATAAATGGGGAGGTAAGGACATGGTATTCCCCGGTCCTGATGACAATATCACCACTCATGTGGAGGGGTATTTAAGTATTTACACTTATCCCTTCACACTAGGCCCGGTAGACCCAGTTGTTTTGGACTTTTACAAGAGATACGAGGTGTGCCTTGGGCAAATCCACCCATCTCTTTGGAAGATCATGATCCTCCTCTGTTACTTTGTGAATAACATCGAGTCTCCTCGGTTCACCCTCGACCACCTACTCCGTCTATATAATCCCCGAATTTTACGACGGGGACTAATCAAGCTCACTCGCCGGGCCAACAAAGCCCTCTTTTCGAGCATTCACGAGGAACGAGATCGAGGATAGCAGGGGCACTTTGTTCGGGTGAAGACCGAAGATTGAATACCTCCCGAATTTTTGCCATTCCTCGAGAAGTGAAATGTATCTCGTAAGTGTAATCTTTCCTTAAGTGTTGAGTCTCCTCTGTTTCCTTTCTCACCATCTGTATTTGTGACCGTGCAGATGTTGCTCGGGTTCCCGATGCGATGCCCCGGCTCAAGGAGCGGATCGAAGGCATCTACAAGCAGATGTCGTATTTTGAGCGCTCGTGGCGCAATCTTTAAAAGGGACGATGAGAGGCCCGTTCTTATGGTAAAGCTCTTCTCGGAATAGTTATTATTACGCCCCGAACTTACATAACACTGACCTTTTCTCTTTCCTTCGCAGATTTTCCTAAGGCCACCGAACTTAGGCCATTGAAAGGGGACGAAGATGCGTCCCAATACGTTGATCCCGTTGTTGCGGGGCAACCCCGGGTTGCTGTGGAGGAGAAGAATATAAAAGGGAAATCCTCGGGCACGGAGGGGGCCTAAGGTGAGGATAAAAAAAAGGGCTGCCACTTGGGTTCATAAGCCCAAGAAGAGCACAAACTCTCGCGTGCCGAATTTTGACTCACTTTGCCGGCTCATGGATGAGTCTGAAGAAGATGACATCTTTGTTGCTCACAGATCGACCCCTACCGGGGAGCAGGTGATAGCCGAAGAAGAAAGCCATGAGGTTGATCTCCTCCCGACTCGGGAGGTACGGATTGAAACGGGGCTGAGATCTCCCGAGAAGCTGTTTCCATTCCGAATGACGCGACCGGTGTAATAGACATCATTGAGATACCCTCATATGCCGAGTCTATGCTTGAGGAGGCCCAAGCAGGAAAGGAAAAGTCAAGTGAAGGAGTTCACGAAGCGGAAGACCCTCTCCACTCCTTCTTGGATGGTGTGGACACGTTTACTTTGGAAGACTTTTCGGGGTTGGGCGATATAGAGATTCCGTAGAAGGACGCTCCTTTGGAAGTTGGCGGGCCGAGTTCGATTCCAAAACTGGTTAATTAGTTTCTCGCTCTGGGTGCGGACCCCGGTCACAAGAGATCGGTTATTCTTACTGTCCTAGAGGATGCTCGGGTTCTATCCGCTCCCGTGGACATAGCTAGCTACCTTCGATGCCTGGTGACCAAGGAAGACTAGGCAAAGATGAACGAGGTGGGAGCGTCGTGTCTCTTCAATGAGGCGCAGTAGGCGCTGAACCGGGTAAGGCATCAATACTCCCTCTTGAAATCCACTTAGGTTTTGATTTCTTTGACTATTTTCGTTGTTTTGTAGACCTTAGTTATTCACCACGAGAGCTTCCGCCAGTACCGCTTTGAGGTCAACCAGCTCGAGTTCAAGATCAAGGAGAAGGCTCGAAAGAAGGATATGTACAAACTCCTCAGCGAGTAACAAGACGGGGCTATCAAGGACCTTTAGGCCGAATTGGACAGGGCTTAGAAGGAAGCTTCGACTCTGAGGCGGGAACATGCCGACCTGGTCGAAAAGGTTTTGAAGCTAAAAACGATGAGCTAGTCATGGTGACTAACAACACAACCTCGCAGGTTCAATAGAAGATTGACCCGATCGACCAACTTCGAGCCTAGATGAACGAGGTCCAAGCCATGGTTGATGTGTGGAAAAGTAAAATGGACCTCCTGGCTGTGGAGAAGAAAACCGCCAAGGCGAAGCTGGCATCGACAGAGGTCCAACTCTGGGTGGCGAAGGAGAAAGCTGACAAGTGGTCTCAACTAAATGACGATCTCCGAGCACAGCTGAGTTCGACTGTCACAGAGAGGGACGCCCTCGGTAGAGAGTACGAGGCAGTGAAGTCCAAGTTGACTACTACCTCCGCCGATGCCGACGAAATAGTGGCCTAATACAAGGCCGATGTGGAGGCAACTGAAGTCCGCCTGAAGGCAAAGGCCGAATACATGAAGCGGTTGTCCCAAAGAGAGACCCTCGAGGAGATCCACGCCCGAGGTTTTGATCTGTCGGCTGAGATTGACGAAGCCAAAAAATCAAAGCCGAGGCAAAGAAGCTTTATGAGCTCGAAGGTGCCGATGACTCTAAGGGTTCTGAGGGATCCGAAGGCTCTAACGGCTCTAGCGAAGAGTCGGGCCCTGGTGAAGATGAGGTGTAGATGCCTCAGTACTTTTTTAGTTTTTTTGTCTTATGTACATTTTATGTTTATTTTGAGGCCGTTTTTATTTGGCCTTTGTAAGTATATTCCGAAATATATGTATAAAAGTTTGTATCATGGCTAAAGTGGACTATGTGGGCACGATTCACTCGATCGTTTGGCCCTTATAATTAATCCTAACCACCGAACCTTAGCTTCTAACATATAAGATTTTCTTCTTTCTTTGTTAAATTTTTCCTTGCTAAAAACCTTAATCCGAGGTTGATGGCCCCCAGTATTCGAGGTCGAGCTTGAGAGGGCTCGGATACTTGTTGATGGAAAATAAACGCCCGTTGACTTCGGTTTGAGACCGGCCTTTGAATCTAAGTTAGTACATTTCACTGTTGACTCGTTAAAAACCTTGTAGGAAAATCCATTTTTGGACAAAACCGGTTCAAAGGAAAAATAGTACAACGCGTGCTTTCAGACCTAATAGCCACGTCCATCCTTGGCCGTTGCCTGCAGGTGTTAATCCGATTCGTAATATTATCAAAGAGTAATTGAAATCGTACCCTAACAGTAGTACCACTTTAAGTGTGCCACCTTCTTGTTGTTCGGTAGCTGTACACCGTTTCATTTAATTATATATATAGAAGTCATTTTCTAACGAATTCATGTTTGTACGTACTCGAGTTTGAGTCATTTCCTTAAGAAAGAAAGAAATTAAAGGAATTGGAGAAACCTCAACTAAAGAAAGAAATTAAAGGAAAAAGTTTGGAGAAAAAGTAAATTAAAGAAATTAAAGGAACATGAAAGCATGATATAGTCCCTTTCACGGTTTCACCTCCGTGTCCTACATCATATATGGTTCAGAATAATCAATTCGATAAAAAAGAAAAAGACATAACAGATGTCAAAAGCAAATGGCTTAGATAAATTAATTAATGCTTAGTCGGTGTATATTGTAGAGTTTGTATTTTATGACATCATAATTATTTACCACCGCCTACAAATATTATTTTATATAATTTTCATACAGTAGTTTTCAACACTTCAAAATCAAATTTAGTTAACTATTCAAATCTTAAAATTAAATCATATTGCTACTTATAGTCTTATATAGTTTAATTTTCGGTATACAGAACGCGATATTTCTTAAAATAACATTTCACATGTTACGTTAATATATTTTCCCACCGCTACTAGTAAATACATGAATCAGATTAACTTTAGGTTCGTTGAAACAATGTCATATAGAATGGGACTATGGAAATATGTAATGTCTATAAAAAGTGAAGACCCTCATCTTATAAAAGGAAAAAATATAGTTTTTTTGGTTTTCGGGCGAGCGATATTCGTATATTTTATTGAAGCTCGATAAAATTTAAATTTGTATCCAAAAATCCCACGTTAAAGGTAAAGGCAATCTAAACATGTTATTTAAGCATGAAGGAATACTATCCTGTTGGTAAACAATAACAAGGATTTTTGAATTATTTTATTTTAAGTATATAGAGACGTAACCACATTTTCAACTAAGATATCCTAATTTTCTTGTGTAGCTTTCAAGATTCTCTTCTCTTTTTCTATTTGATAAAGTGTACCTCTATTTATCAATTTTCCATTATATTATATTATTATATTATAATATTATTAACACACAGTTCATCTTACTTCCTCTATATATAGCTCTCTCCTCTGATCATTTCTCATCACAAATCTCACAACCAAAGCATTAATTCTCATTAATTTTCCCTTTAATTCCCATCTTCTTATTATCAAGTTTATTTATTCCTCATTTACCAATGGCAAGTCTTGATCAGGTACGTTTATATTGATTTTTGCACACATTTTCCCTCTCTTTTTTTCCAAATTAAACCTAGCCCTCAGGTCAAGATCAGCTGGCTAGCTAGCTCCAGTAGTGTTGGTTAAATACATAATCACAAAATTTTCATATATAGTGAACTTTCACAAGAATATATTAATCTAATATCAGTATTAGTAGCTGAATAATCAGCTTTCGTCTAACTGACGATTGTCTAAACTTTGAAAAAACAGAATAAAATATAATTCTTACTTTGCTAAATGTTTATTTAATTTGGCTTTATCTATGAAATAAAAAAGCAGCCGCTCCTTAACTGACCTTTTAGGTAATTCTTTGAACTCTAAATAGGCGATCCTTTACTTGATCATCAATCTAAACTTAGGTAATTCTTTGAACTCTAAATAGGCGATCCTTTACTTGATCATCAATCTAAACTACTCCCTCCATTTCAAGAAGATTGACATAATTCTGTAGAGTCAAAGTACTTAACTTTTGATTATAGTTACCCGTAATAAGTAACCAGCTTATTGTGTAATTATTATTTACTCAGACGATACATAGAACTGAAACTCAGTTTCTTGTAGTGTCACTGATGTATATAATTGTTTTTATTGTTTTTAAAGGTTGGATCAGCAGCAGCAGTAGTAGAGCCCACTCCTGCAGCTGCAGTTGAAACCACCAAAGATGCACCCAAAGAAGAGTCAGTAGTGAGTACTGAAGCCCCAGCAGCACCAGAAGTTGCTGCTAATGAGACTGCTGCTGCACCAGTAGTAGAAGAAAAAAAAGAAACTGTTGCTGAAGCTGTTGTTGAAGAAAAGAAAGAAGAACCTGTAACTCCTGTTGCTGAAGCTGCCACAGAAGTTCCTGTGGAGAAGACTGAATGAAGTGAAGATTATTATCATTTGCAGTTTATTATTGGTGAATGATGAGGTTATTGTATTATGGCTTTTGTGTTTTTATTTGTTTATTATCACTAGCAACTTGAGAGTGATAGTTGCTTGGTTTTAGTAGAGGGGATGAGAGGGTTTTGCATGTGTCCAGTCCCAAATATGGATGATCAGTTTGTCTGCTCACTTTGATTAAAGCTGAGATGAGATGAGATTTGATCTTTCTACATTTTAATAATAAAAGTTTTTCGAGTCAGTGTCTAAACAAGAAAATTTTCTTTAATATTTAGGTAACCTAGTAAAATTCGTAACTTACCAGATATCATGAGTTAAACAACATTAATAGTATTAAGAAATCGTTAAAAAAAAATCAGTTTTATGCTCTATATTTCCTCTGATTGTTAAAAATGTTTCAGTTTTATGCTCTATATTTCCTCTGATTGTTAAAAATGTTAATTATAGGCAAATCTTTGTTATTGCCATGAGTTGATAACCTAGTACAAATTGTCATTTGACCTGTTATCACAAGTTAAATTACGTAGATTAACAATGTAAAAATTCGTTAAAGTGTTCCAAATTTACGTTCTATATAGTTCGTATAATTGTTTGCTCCAAATTGAGAAATCACCGCGGTTACAGATTGATCATGCATCGACCTTCAATAGTGACTGAGCTTTCTTTTATCAGAAATTAGGGTTGATGATAAAATTGCAACACGACCAATTGCTTGTTTAGTCTATTAAAAGTTGGATACAATAAGTTTTTACCCGATCATAAATAATTTATGAACTTTTGTTATACATATCATCAGTCTAAATTGACCTATTACATTAGGTGCTTATAATTACTGTTGATCCAAATCAAACGGTTATTAAAACTATATTAATATCAATTGATTTCTAGATTGTTCTACAATATTTTGAATAAAATAAAAATCTCTTCATTTGAAACTCCATTGGAGTCGACCGGAGTAATGTACCTCTTTCTATCAAAAAGCTATTTCAACAATTTCCATGTTTATAGTTCGAAAGGAAAATAATCTTAGAAAATTTAGTCGAACCTAATTCTTTCGGATTTTTTTATTCCAATCAACGACCTCTTACCATACTAAGGAGGGGCGAACAATTTTTTTTAATTGTCCCTCCTTTGTTTATTTTTTTCTTCTTTACTCTTCAAAGAAAAAGTGGTTTTGTTAAGTGTATCAATTACCTACATTATCTTTTATGTGACATGATGATATAAATAAAGAGGAATATTGAATATAAAAGTTTCTATGTAATCACTATGTATACGGTCGAAATAGATTTCGGCCTCTGTACGTTTGATTGAGTTCGAATGGTAAGCAATCGAAGTGAGAGCTCGAGACGAGTTCCGAGGATAGTACAAACAAGCCTCGAGCTCCAAGACCGATCGAGGAATCGGCTCGGTGTCATTATCAAGCCCATGGCCAAATTGAACCGCAAGGCAAAGAGAAGGTTGTCGGAGATGCACAGACCGATTGATACTCACCCCGAATGTCGAACTCGAACTCAAGGCCGAGGGCTCGAACCAATACCAAGCTCAAGCCAGTATCGAGCTCGCAGACAGGAGCCGTTGCAACCGCACTAGGGGAGAGAATCTTGACAGGAATCGAGGAAGAGACAATTCATCATGGGTTCTTCACTATATATTTTTTATTATAAATAAAGTAAGATCCCTCTACTATAAATGGGGGAATCCTTGTAAGCACAAGCAGGTTGATACATTGTAAGAAAAGACTACTTCTATTTATTGAAAAATAAATCTCTTAAACTTGTTTTACTCAGCATACTCACTCTTCTAGTTCAATAATTTATATCCCATTTCTATAGCCAAGAATCTAAATATTTTCACTTCTACCTACGATTTATGTCAAGCTATATCACATATCCTTAGAACTACTTATAAGTTAAACTATATCCAATTTTTCGGGTATAGTTTGGCGCCCACTGTAGGGCTAAGGATACTAGTGATTATTTGATACAAATCCGCAATACGCACCAGTTTACAACTCCGAATCAGCAATGGCAGACCCTCGATTCATGGCTTTACCTATCGACCACGAAGCCGACCTTCAGGATGAAACCAACAACTTGATACCCAGGGCCGGAAAGCCACTTAACGATGTCACTGAAGCTCGAGTCGAAGTACCTGAAATTCGAGTCGAAGTACCACTAGATGTCAATTCACAAGTGGCTCTTGAGGTGAACCAACGTTCCGAACCGAAAAAAAATATTCAGGGCGGTACTCGATCCATAGCTCGAGACGCCAATAACGTGGAGGAGATCGGAGTCAGCTTACAGATGATCTTCGAGATGTTACAAGCCCAGTAAATTGTGATAGCTCAGTTGCAGAGCCAAACTCAGGCACAAAGCAGGCCGGAGCCCGATCCGCTTCAGGAAATCACCCACAGAACGGAGCCAGTCATAGTGAAGTCAAACGAGCAAGAATCGGGGACTACTCCTGAAATTACTAAATTGCTCGAGGAACTCACAAAACGAGTCGAAGCCAACGATAAAAAAGTAGAAACATATAATTCCAGGGTCGATCAGATCCCGGGAGCTCCACCAATGATAAAGGGGCTAGATTCAAAGAAATTCATCCAAAAGCCTTTTCCCTCGAGTGCAGCCCCAAAACCAATCCCCAAAAAATTTCGTATGCTCGAAATTCCCAAATATAATGGTACAACCGATCCCAACGAACACGTCACCTCTTACATGTGTGCCATCAAGGGTAACGATTTGGAAGACGACGAGATCTAATCCGTGTTATTGAAAAAATTCGGAGAGACCCTCTCGAAGGGAGCGATGATTTGGTATCATAATTTGCCCCCAAATTCCATCGATTCTTTTACCATGTTAGCGGATTCGTTTGTAAAGGCACATGCTGGTGCCATAAAGGTTGCAACAAGGAAATCAGACCTTTTCAAAGTAAAGCAAAACGGTAATAAAATGCTGAGGGAGTTCGTGTCCCGATTTCAAATGGAACGCATGGAATTGCCACCGGTCACAGACGACTGGGCCGTCCAAGATTTCACCCAAGGGTTGAACGAGCAATGTTCAATAGCATCACGTCGGCTGAAGCAAAATTTGATCGAGTATCCAGCAATAACTTGGGCGGATATATACAACCGATATCAGTCAAAAATCAGGGTCGAAGACGACCAGTTGGGAGCTCCTTCCAGATCCATGCACAAGAACATGACAACTATTAAAAAACAGAGGGATATCGACAGAGAATGAAGGTCGAACAGAGACCGATATCAATCGTACGTCGCAGATCGAATGAACAATGGCTCAGCGTGCAATTTCACTCGGAACAATCGACGGAGTGATCGAGGACAAAGTTCTCGGGGGCTTATGAGCAAGAGTGGCTTCGATAAATATAGAGATCCTATAGAGGCACCTTGGCTATCGGAGTACAATTTTCAGCGTCGACGCATCGAGCACTGTATCGACGGTCGGAAGAATCAAAGATACTAAGTGACCTAGACCCATGTAAACCGACCCTTCCCAAAGAAACCCAAATTCGATGTGCAAGTATCACTGCACGCATGGCCACAAGACCGAGGATTGCAGACAATTAAGAGAAGAGGTAGCCCGCCTATTCGATGAGGGCCACCTTCGAGAGTTCCTCAGTGATCGAGCCAAGAATCACTTCAGAGAAAGGGATGCCAGCAAAAAGGATAAACAAGAGGAACCTCTGCATATCATTCATATGATCATCGGTGGGGTCGATACTCCACAGGGACCCGTGCTCAAGTACGGAAAGATACCGGCCACAGGGGAAAAATGAACTCGAGGTTATGTACCCGAGGGCACTTTATCATTCGAAATTTAAGAAGCCGAGGGCATCTCTCAACCTCACAACGACGCTCTCGTAATTTCTATCCTATTAAATAAAGCTCAAGTTAAGCGTGTTTTAGTGGATCCAGGTAGCTCTGCGAATATCATCCGATCTTGGGTAGTGGAGAAGCTCGGTTTGTAGAATCAAGTCGTGCCCGCAGCTCGTGTCTTGAACGGTTTCAATATGGCCAGTGAAACGACTAAAGGGGAGATTACTCTACCAGTGAATGTAGCTGGAACCATCCAAAATATCAAATTCCATGTAATCGAAGGGGATATGAGGTACAATGCCCTACTCGAAAGACCTTAGATCCGCAATATGAAGGCAGTGCCTTCGACCCTCCACCAAGTAATGAAATTTCCTACATAAGACGGCGTGAAAATAGTATACGGGGAGCAACATGCTACGACGGAAATGTTTGCGGTTGATGAGGTAACATCGATACCAACGCTATCAGTCTCGGAAAGGTCGAGTACTAAAGATTGACGAGAAACCAAATAGCAATCACAGCCACCAGTCTCGACCGAACCGGTGGAACAGGAAATAGAGGATGACGAGGAAGAGTTTCTGACACCTCGAGCTTTCATCATCCCCGACGACTCTGATGCCACCAAATCTACGATCGAAGAACTGGATTATATTATATTAATCGAATATCTGCCCGAGAGAAAGGTATACCTGGGAATGGGATTGACCCCCGAACTCAGGGAAAAACTCATTCAATTTCTTATCGATAACATAGACTATTTTTCTTGGTCCCATTTAGACATGGCAGGGATCCCACCGTCGATAACAACGCACCAGCTGAGCTTGGACCCTAGGTTCAAACCGGTAAAGCAAAAAAGAAGACCTCAGTCTGAGGTAAAACACGCATTTGTAAAGGATGAGGTAACTAAACTACTAAAAATAGGGTAAATTCGGGAAGTAAAATATCTCGAGTTGTTAGCCAACGTAGTTGTAGTCCCTAAAAAGGGGAACAAACTTAGAATATGCGTAGATTATAAAGATCTAAACAAAGCATGCCCCAAAGATTCTTTTTCACTGCCTAGCATCGATCGCATGATCGATGCCACAGCCGGCCACGAGATCCTTACTTTTCTCGACGCCTACTCCGGGTAAAATCAAATTCGAATGAACCCGGAGGACCAGGAAAAGACTTCAATTATCACCAAATACGGAACCTATTGCTATAATGTAATGCCATTCGGGCTAAAAAAAATGCAGGAGCTACTTACTAACGCCTAGTGAATAAAATGTTCGAAGAACAAATAAGTAACTCGATGGAAGTTTATATTGATGATATGCTAGTTAAGTCCCTACGCGCAGAGGATCATTTGACTCATTTGCAGGAAATGTTCAAGATCTTAAGGAAATACAACATGAAGCTCAACC